ATCAATAGATCTGATATGTTCACCATATTTCATTCAGGGTAATGAAGAACAGGTATTTTGAATTTTCCCAGAGAGCCTAACGTTTCTATAGCATATCATATCATTGTTGGAATAGTCACCTGCCTGTCCTTCTTCAACTCAAACGAAATAAGAGGATCATAGCTCTTGCATCAGAGTGTCTAGATTATATGGTGACTACCACAATCTGGGTTCAAGTCCCTCTAGTAGTGCTAATGAGGCCTAGGCGAGGTTGAAATTGGATGAGAATACTTTTTAGGAAGCAAAGCTAGGTGGGAGAATTCAGCAAATATTCCTTCACTTAAACGAAATAGAGTGAATACAGCTCTTATAAGCTGTGAAATCTCTAAAGTCTTGAAAGGTAAATGCCTACAACTGGGCTAACAAGTGAAAAAAAACTATCAGACCTTAAAGCCCTTGGTCGGAAGGTGTGACTTGCAAGATAATGGAAGACTTATTTCGCATTCAACAATATGTAGCATTTAAAGAACAAAATGTGCCGCCTATTTTTCAATATGTGCTCTGCTGATTCGAACAAAGTATCTACTAAAATTTACTTCAGGACTTAGAGGGCCCCTTGAATTAGGCCCGGAAGACGGAGTGATTGAAGAATGATGCTTGGCAAGTAGAGAAAATCAAATGCTTCCTCTTGAATAGAAATCTGGCTAAAAATATGCACTGTTATTTTTAAGCGGCTTTATATGCAATAAGGAGTCATGACGATGCTCTGGCAGCAAGGCTGCCTGTCTAGGATGGACGTTTCAATAGAAAACGCAAAGTTTAACTAATAAAATTTATTAATTTTCCCAAGAACAGATTAAAATTTCATACCTTAAAGTATGCTTAAAATATCACAGTCGAAAGAAAGAATAAGGATGAGGCAGCCGAAATGACATTAGTACAACGGAGGATGTCCGAGTAAGGTTGCACTGGATCATAAACAGAAATAAAACCAGGATGTGGCGACATAAAGCATAATGGGGTTACAAGCGAAAAAATGAGGATGAAGCAAGAACACAGGCCCGGTTAAAGGGACGGAGAGGTGGAGGGAAAATGGTAGAAGGAGGACCGAACAATTTCCTAAGTCATTTGTGTTCTAGAGGCAGTGAAGCTCAGAGGCAAAATGGATGAACCAGTCAGCAAGCACTTGTCTGAGGTGAGGACCCTCGGCAACCGCAATCAGCCGGCTCAAACAGGGCGCCAAGAGTGGGCGAAAGATGGCCGTAAACTCAGAGGACGAGGCAAGGGTGCTGGGCTCCGTAGAGACTGGATCGGTGCCTGACAGAGGCGGAGGATCAGACGAGGCTGTTAACACAATAGAGGCTGTATTTGCTGCATTGGCCATCGAGAGAGGCGGTGAGAGCGGAGAAAGCCCAGCCTCTGGTTGTCCGTTGGGTCGGAGGCATGAGTTCCGCAGAGACGACGATTGACGCCGCTTCTCAATCCCCGCCTCAGAGAGGCAGGCTGAGGCCAGGTTGGCCAGCAGGTCGGCCAGGAAAGCCAGGCGACTGGTAAGCTCTGCCATCAAACTTTGTTCAGCGGATGTTTTGGGGCGCAGACTGGGGTGAACCGGCAGAGTTTGGGCCAACTTATGAGCACGGTACTCGTGTAAAACCAACTGAAGAGAAGAATCTTTCGGTGACTTGGCAGCAAGAAGAAGAAGGAGAAGAAGAAAAGGAAGTGGAAGGAGAGAGCGAGGTAGAAGGAGGTGAAATTAACACAAATACATAAAATAGAAGTTTTCATGAAGGTTTTCAAAACTACTAGTAAATCATATATGAGATATATTTACCCTACTTCGTTTGAGGTGAGGAAGGATTGGTAGTTGAATTTTCCCACAGTAAGATAAGTAGAAGTGGATTGACCTCATTTTCGCAACTTTGTCTTGTTGTCAGAGCGATTTAGTTAGACGCATCTTTTCCGAAGTCCTCTGCTATAGTAGGTAGCATAATTCCCAACGTCAGACCATGGACTTGGTACATTCTCAGCACCAAGCTACAACTCAACAAAGAGACAAGTCATTCAATAAAATCTTTAACAAACAATTCAATCATAAGAAAGGATGCACAACCACCCACAGCCTACGAATTACTGAAGATACACAAAGAAGGCGAGCCACTAAGGCTGATAGTCAACAATAAGTATGGAGCAACACACAAATTGGCAAAGTTTATATGTTTAAAACTCAAGAAATTAAGTGAGAGGCTATTAAACACAGTGAAACATTCATATGCATTTACTCAAAAAGTCACAAACATGGCACTGGAAGAAACAGACTTATTAGTATGTTTCGATGTGGAATCCATGCATACAAATATCTCTGAAGAAAATGCGCTAACGGCCCTGCTGAAAATCCCGGACCGAGAGGAGGATATCCTCCAATCACAACGGATCAGGAGGCACTTCGTTAACAAAGACTAATCAACTTGACAATAAGGACAACCTATTTTACATTCAACGGGAACATCTATGAACAAATATTTGGACCTCCCATGGGATCGCAGCTCTCACCACTTTCGGCAAACGTATACATGAGCAAATTAGAAGAGAACTTCAAAATGTCATCGCTTATGCGGTACCTGGATGATTACCTTGCACTTTTACGACATGTAAGAGAAAAATCGGAAGATTTTCTGAAGTTTATAAACCAGATTAAAAAAACCAATTTACGATAGAAGTAGAGGAAGGTGAAGGGTTACCTTTCTTGAATGTTGAACTGATTCGCTCTAATGGGACTCTCAAAAGAAAATTGTTCAGAATGAAGTCATATGCCAGGATAACACTCAATTTCCAGTTCCATCACAACTACAGACTAAAGAAAGGAAACAATGAGGAGCACGATCAGTAGAAGCCTACGATTAACGGATGTGGAATTCTGGGATGAGGAATAGGACAAATTGATTAGGATATTTCTCGGCAATTGTTCGCAAGCAAAGTAATACGAAAAACATGCGGGCCGTGAAACCTCGGGAGCAGAACGGAGGCTATGAAAGAAGATGAAGGACGGAGAAACATTCATAAAATTGGATATGCCTACTCTCCTGCGAACTAATATTCAGGTGACCACGAAGAAAAAGACAAAATTATTCACAAGTCTAGCCATGCAACATAAGAGGGTTGACAAATAAGATTGCTCGGGAGTTTACTGCATAGCATGTGGTGTCTGAAACAAGAAATAAATTGTCGAAACAGGGAGGAAAATCGGCATACATACCAAGGAATATCAAACGATCTGTAGGAAAGTGGATACCAAGGGGAACACATTGCGCAAACTGGACATGATATCACTTGGAAGGCGACAAAAAGAAGGGCCTCATACGGTGAAAACACAAGGAAGTGGGAGATTAGGGAGGCCAGTGACATACTTGGCGAAAGAAATTGAGTGAACAGAAGATTGGAAAAAGAAAGAGTTAGCGATAACTTTGTCTATTACCTAAGCAAACACGGAAGAAACAAGGATACAGCAAGACCGGCAAAAGGTAGACGCCTGGATAAAGGACCTTTCGTTAACCAGAGAATAGTGATTACGAGGAGAAATGGGGCGGGAGGATTCCTAAAGTCAAGCGAAGACGTTCTCAGTGAGAAAAGTCTGCTCGAAGAAACCAGTACAACTTTGGGGTCTGGCAGTCACCGAGCTGAGGAGAAGAAAATCACAACCGTTACAGAAATTCGGCTTTGAAGCCAAATCGACTAGAAGTCTACTCGAGAGGTGCACTGAGACTGGAATCAGAAGGTTAGGAAACAGATGTACGAGACTATGAAGGAGATCATGGTCGGAGGCCCGAGTCGAATTAGTCGATCGAAATCGAGGAGAGCAAGGTGAACTGCAGGTGTGACGACACCACACTAAACTTGCCAAAAGGTCATACCCTTTAAGGACTGGAATGCAAACAAGTCAGAAGTTGTCAGACGGCGGGAGTGAGATAAGAGAGTAGGGAGAATATAGATGGGTCAGGAGAGAAAGATGAGCGATAGCACAAGTGTTTTGGCAGAAAGTTGGTCAAGGGATTGGCTTTAA